GTGTGTGTGTGTGTGTGTGTGTGTGTGTGTGTGTGTGTGTGTGTGTGCCTGCAGGTAATGAAGCAAACTATGATCCTAAAACTGAGGTACAGACCGTTAACTTTCTCTATAATGTCTTCAGTCTCTGCGCCACATCTGTATCCCAGAAACAGCGTTTGATTGGCTGTCATAAAGAAGTTCAAGAGCCTCCGAAAAAGCTCCGTCATCTAGTGGAGCGTCTTGAGAGTCTGTCCGATTTGTTTTAGTCTTGCTCGTGTCGTTTATGTCTCACACCAGTAGGTCACAGCTGCTTCCCTCAGTGTCTGGAACGGAGAAGCAACGCGAACATTAAAACAGGCCTCTGTGTTCTACCTCCAGACAGTTTCTATCTCACTCGCTCCATCTTGAGGGGCAGTTCTGTCAATCTGAGAAGTGACGTCACCTTGAAATCTAGTGTTTTATGGAAATCCTTCCCGCTCTTATACACCGATAAGCACAGGACCAGATGTTTCATCACAATGAGATGCAGTGCAGTAAGAAGCTCTTCTGAGAAACAGCGTTTTGGCCACATTTACACTCCCAACGAAGCTATTCCGCTACTATTCTGTGCCACAGGTAAAAACAGCTGGTTTACAGCCTTTACATGAACTGCCGATAACATCTGTCTGTATGTCGAGGCTCTTGGTCACACTGTTGGTTTTATACAGAATTGACTGAGAGTGGTAAACGGATCTTTTCTAGCTGCTGGTGTGACTTTTGTAACTATTGCAAACTGTCTCGAGCATGTTGTGTTCCCTTCGCGATTGTTCTTTTTGCGCTGATTATTTCGGGGGAAATCACTAACTAGTACACGGTAAATTGTCCCGTCGTCTTTTCTTATGATCTGTGTACAAAAAGGAACTGCTTTAGAGTTCTATCAGCTTGGCTGTCTGGTTCGTGTTTGGGATGACTCCATAAGATAACTTGTGTCCGTTAGATTCACTGCACTCTGTTGGTGACAAAAAGCCCTTCACTCTCACTAGGGTTCTACAGGTGGAGGTGCAACACTCGCAAAGCTGAAATTATATGAAAAGTTCAAATGTATAGCTTAAAAAAAATCTGATTTACATGAACATGAGTGTTGTACCTTTTAAACTTCTGAGTTGAAAGCTGAGATGATGACTTTTTTTGGGGTTTTCTTGTGTACATATGAACCAAAGTGTAACTTTTTTTTCGGGCTTTACTCCGTGTACCTGCTGTTTATGTTGGTATCTTCGTAACCAAAGGCAAAAATGTTCACATTTTAAGTTCTTTTATCAGAATGTGTATTCATCTATGTGGTTGGTCCAGTCTTTTTCCACTACACAGGACACTTGGATACAAAAATGTGACCATTTGTCATATTGCTAAATAATTGTTTTGTCATATATTATATTTGATTTCAAATATGCAGCAACTGAGTTTGAGCAGCATCATTTACCAAGTTGTGGGTTTTAGTTTTTTTTGTTCAAGGTGTTTATAATTCATCATTTGTGGAGGAGTACAACTATTACAGCAAAGCTGTGAGTTGGGAGGTGTTTAGGGGAACATAAGTGTGTGGAACGATTAAAGGGGAGCTTCAAGCTGACAAATGAAGAGCTTTGGTTTGTAAAGAAGTCTTTTATTCAAATGTTTGGATTTCTGGTGTTACAAAATGTTGGCCATTGTTTATTTTACTGACTCCTTTTTAGCTTTTGAAGATTGTCAGTTCTTTTTTTTTTTTTTTTGCGATATCTGAGAAGTTAATAAAACATAATCATAAATTGATAATTATTGACTCTTTTGCTCTTTAAAAAAAAAAAAAACAGCTGGTATTTCTTCCATCTAGGTGTCGTTTTGTAGTGAAGATGTGCTCTATGCTGCAAGACAATGGCCTTTTCTCCTGGAGTCAATGTAACCGTGTGTCTCATGGCAGCCCTGGCACTCTGTGAATAATGACCTGCCGGCAGTGGACGGCCTCACAGGGCTGCACGAGACACATCCAAGAACGCCTCGGCTGAATAATTGGCTTATGAGTAAATGAGTCCTTTAATTGCCTGGTGTGAGTATGTGTGTTTTTTGATCCTTCCTCTGTTGAGTTGTCGTGTTTTGGGATGGGCTAAATCTGTGCCAAAAAGGCTCAAATGATGCATTTTAATTAAACCAGTACCAAAGGACTCAGGTCTGTCCCAGCCTCTCCTCACTGTCTGCCACCATGTTGAGTTGTGGGGAAACGGGGACAGATGGATCGTAAGCTGAGATCATCCTCCTCCCTCTGAACACACACACACACACACACACACACACACACACACACACACACACACACACACTCTTGTGCCAGCTCGCTTTCAATGGACTACATAAACAATCTGGTGTCCCACTCAAATGCTCTTACGGATTAAAAGCAGCTGCAGTCCTCATCCCCCTGCGTAAGGCGTAGTTAGTGCAGCCTGACCTACTGCATCGAACAGCAGCACCAGCACTCCTCCACACTCGGATGCACACACAGTGCCGAGCACAGAGAGCCTTTTCATGTTGACGTGTATCAAAGGATTGTGGACGTGCTGGCTCTCGACAACAGGAGACTTAAAACAAGACTTGTGAATCGGGGCGCTTTGAAGCCTTTTCATGTTCTCAGCTTGAGGATTGTATGGTGGTGAGCATTTAGACTTATATCAGTTTGAGAGATGGTACGTAGAAACACTTACCATAGAGTATAAAAGGGCCTGGATAAGGAAAGTAAATAGAGATTTGCATTATTGCCAAGTGGATGATGTCACTGTGTCAACTGGACGCATGAATTTCACAGGTTTCCGTGACCCGATGAACTCGCTGTGAGTGTGAGGCAAGGCTGCAGATAACCGGCAAAGACTGTGAAATACTTTTTAAAAAAGGGTCACGCTCTCAGAGAATAGTGCAAGTAAGTATGGGCACAAAGTAACTGAAACTTAGGTTTCTGGGGAAAACAATATTTTATATTTTTCGTTTTGAAAAAGTTTTGTTCTTAACCTTAACCAGTGGTATTTGTCGTTAATTTAAGAATAATACATTTTGATGAATCTTTTGGCAGCATTGTAGAATCCATTATAGCCGACCGTAGCTCAACATCAGATGACTATAACGTTTTATTATGTGAACACATTTTAACCTTTCTTATCTCATAATTCACTCTCTAGCATACACAGTTACAGATTTATGAAATTAAAACAATGCTAAAATAATACACACTTGTATTGTGATGGAATGTAAACCATTAGGCCTGCGCGCATGTCTCAGTTGTCTCTATACGCCTGACATCTGTTTAGGTTTGGCAGTCCCCTCCATACATCTGAAATTGTGTTCTTTTGTACACAATTAGCTCTTGAACTGCTCTCCAGCTCACCTGATTCAGACATCAGAACCACTAGTAACCATCCACTAATACAGTGCATCATTAGCGCAGACAGAGACAGGTTTGCACTGAATGTATGTGTACCTGCAGCACAGAGACCTCCAACTGAGACGGTCTGAGCCCCCCGAGTCAGAGCGGATATCAGGATGATATCACAAAGCAGGATGTGTGTGTGTGTGTGCACTCCTGGTCCTTGTGTGTATGTTTTACACTGCAAGTGAAGCTGCCAGCATGAAGGATGAGCTCTGGCCTCTGATGAAACGGCCTCTCCAGCATTCAAAAGGAACACGCAGGCTTCTTCACAAAGGTTTGAACATTAAGTGGTAGAGAGTATTTTGCTTCTTCGATATTTTTGCAGCACATTCATTTTGCGGCTATATAGCCAGCGTGCCTGCTGAGTTCATGTCGTGCTTCTGGTTCTCATTACCATTACCATGCATTATGTATCTCTCATTGATGTTTATCTGCTGTTTTCTTTGTAGTCTGTGGCGGGATTCTATGCGCTCCCCACCTCAACGTTTTCTTTTTGGATTCACTGGGGTTTGTACTCTCAAGTATCAAGCTTTTTCTGTCAAATGAAACCAATATTTAAAAAAAAAAAAAAGAAATTGTAAATATGGTAATTTAATAGCAGGAAAAAGGGGAGTCACAAGTGAGTGTTCATAGCTTGTGGCCGTGAGGAGCTTTGTGACGCATACAGCCCGAGGGCAGCAGCATGAACTCAGAATACAGAGGACGATACTGGTCAAAATACCACAAATTAAAACCTGTCGCACAGTGCAGAGAGGCACCAGTGTTTTCATTACAACTACGCAAGACTGAATATTGCTCTAGAATTCCAATAATTGACTGTAGTGTAAAGTGTGTACCACATTTAAAAAGTACACACAGTTTTCTTTCTGGTTGAGAGGAACAAAGAGACCTGCGCAGCATGCACACAAACGAGGACAGCAGTTCTAAAGCTTTTTTGGGTTCTGACCCCTCGTGTAGAGGAAAACACAATGCACACCTCAAAAAAAATCATTACATGACGGTCTTCTTCAGGGTATTGAGGGACAAAAACAGCTCCACGAGCAGGGGGGGATAAGAAGCAGGTGTGCTCAATCATCACATTTACTTATTAGGGGAGGAGCACATAGCTACCTGATCTATTAGGCATTTAAAAATGACCGTGGAAAAACTGTTCCAGCAAAGGTTGTACAAGGATAAAAATAAGTCCATATATGGATATCAGAAAAGCTTAGTGTCCTATGTTGATCCTCAAATTAGGAACCACTGAAATTGGCATTGGATTGATTTTCACGAAGTGACTGGAAACTTAATCTTACCTTAAACCATAACCAGTATTTGTTAACCTTAATTATTGCAAGAACCGGCTCGCTCTTTCTCTACACACATACACACAATTTGTGTTCGATTTCTCTCTTTTCTCCATTTTGTGTTGCCTCTCCTACATTAACCGATCGAAACAATGTTCACTACGCTTGTTTTGCTCTTTGATTCTGTCATTAGTGGCCTATTTTGGAACAAAAACACAACGATTCGTAGTTTTAGGTGATTATACACTGAATGAAAACATGGTTATAGATATTATATTACATTTTGGTCAATAGATCCCCCTGAAATCCTGCACTGGTCCTTTTTATAAGTTGTCAAGGTTGTGTTGATTGTCTTGAAACAATGAAGCAGACTCAAGTAAGACATGTATAAATATATAAAATCCACACTTTAACACCACATAACCCACCTCGATAATGTGATCGCTTTCTTTCATTCGGTTTACTTTTGACTGCTGAAGTTGAACATTTCAACATACTCCTCATTTTATAGATAAGAACAAGTGCACGTGTTTTGAATAAAAAGTGAAAGACAGAGGCCTGTAAAAGAAATTTCTATTCCCTAAAGTTATTTCTGTTTTTATAAATTCCTGTGAATGTCAAAAAAAAAATGCACGTTTGTCTGTTGAATTCCTGGAAAAGTGTTTGAGCGGCGCAGCAGCAGCTTCAGGAAAGGAAGGTCGTGACTGCTGCATTCAACTCAGCAGAAATGTCTTCCACTCAGCAAAATAACTTGGGCTCTGTCCAGAGCAGCCTGTGGTCCTGTTCTTGATCATGTTAATCCCAACAGGGACGAGCGTGTTGTCACAGCACAAGGGCAAAGAGACACGTTCGTGATTGATCGATTGTGTGCAGTCGTTGTTTGTGTAGTCATATTGATGTGCTTTGAAATATGAAAAAAAACACGATGAGCTGAGAAACCGTCCCAAACAGAGTTGTGTTTGAACAAAACTATAATAATTATGAAGTTACTCATTATGAATTCAGAGCTTTCTCCAAAGGATAAGAGGGAATCGAAAAACAAACAGGACAAGCACCATAACAATGATAATAATTTATTTATTCAGGTAGAGTAAGAGTCTTTGGCAGTGAAGAACACAGGAAGTGAGGGCGATTTAATGAGAACATTTTAAAGTGAAGTGCTGCACGGAGACAAACGATTGGCCCAACTGGACCATTAACACAAGTCCAACAGTGAACCAGTTCTCCCAGAGGGAATGTAACATCGAACCAAGGAACATTAACTGGTTGGACAAATTGGCACTATAAGCGTGTACGATCTGCAGGAGTGGATTATAACGGAAAGAGACAGAAGAAAAAAAAAAAGAGGCTCAAAGGAGTGTTTATCTGCAAATGACAGGTGAGAAGTGTCGCTATGTGAAACTATGATGGTGTTGGAAACAGATGGGTGTTCACTGTGTGAGGAGGTGCTTGGCTTTGGTGCAGTGAAGTGACGTGTCCCTAAGTAAAGATTTCCACGTGCATCACAGTAGAATCTGGCGCTGCCGTCTTTTATTTAATGACCCTCTGAATCCGTTAACATCTACTTTGCCGCTTTCCAATCTGGCACACGTGTCTGGTTTGAATTGTGTTACGAAAACATGTAAAAAGCCACGATTACAAACAGAAATAGAAATTAATTTAGTGAAGAGGGGTGGGGGGGACCACTTACAGCGCGGCTTGTTCACTCTTCTATATTCACATCCCGTTGGCATCTCCTACCAACTGACAAGTGCAGCTCTATAGTTCATATAATGAAGGGCAAAGAGGTACAAGTATAAATCAGTTTGACACTCTGCGTGGCGTTTTTTTCCATTCCAGGAAGTCCGTTTCCTCCTCCCTGTTCTTGCACATCTAATTATTTATTTATTTATTTATTTAAAAACAAGTCTGAAAATGTGGGGAGGTGAGGGAACATCTTTCTGGATTAGAAAGCAGCACAGATTTCATCTCTAAACCCCGACGATAGGGGCAGGTAAGGCCGTTATAATAGTTGCCATGGACTTGTTAAAACCAAGTAAGGGAACCAATCAGAATGCACGGAACATTCGTCACACAGCTCACAACATGAGAGGGGCTGAATACACACAAACACAGTGCACACTGTGCACGAGCCGGAAATGGCAGGTAAACATGCCCGACTAGGTAAAATAATGACATCAGAGCTCCTGTCAATCAATTAATCAATTAATATCATTCAGAAATACTCTCAGAGGTCCGTTCATTCATTCATTCATTCATCGGTAAAGGCAACAGGACTGGACACTCGGTCCACTTCTCCTTCTATTCCACCATCCCTCTTCTCTTTCTGCATTCATCACACTTCTATTACCACTAAAGGGAATATTCAGCTACACAGACTTCACAAGACAAACAGAAGTTCGGTCACTATCAGAATACTGTTGGAGGTCAGGAGTTCGGCTGCTCCCATAACATGTGCAAAAACCTGCTGTTGTAAAGAGCGGAGGCCACTCGGGGTCGCTGTTTCACTCGGACACAGGCATCACTAGTCAAAAGTCAAGTCCCACCGGCACAGCAGTCAGTCACGCTTACACATCCATGCTCCGTATTAAGGCTGGGAAAAGGACAGGGAGGGATGGTCACAGTTCAGGGTGAGACTCAAGCCGCAAGAAGAGAGTCAAAGTGGAGCTCTTAAAAAGTCTGAAGACTCCTTGTGTTCCTTCTTGGTTCCTCCAGAGCTCCTCGTCCATTCATCCCTCCAGCATCTTCCTCTAAAATCCAACAGTCCACATCAAATTGGTGCCCTGTAGGATCCTGGATTAGTAGGCGTAAGGGCGAACCGCTGGGTCCCTGCAGTCCGGGGTCACAGCGTGACCTTGCTGAGTCTCAGCGACAGGCTGGAGCGGTGCTGGGCGCGAGGGAGCGTGGAGCTACAGCGGCTCCGCAGCTGGACCGGCCGACTCGCCGAGCCTCGCACCCGCAGCAGGAAGTCATAGTTGGCGGAGGTGTTCATGGCGTAGAAGACGTTGCCGTTGTCTGGGATCACCAGTTCTGAAAGGAGAAGATGAAGGAAGGCGGAGAGAAAGCAGACATTATGAGGATGGTTTTAGCTCTTACTGATGCTGTTGTACTTTTAGTTTGCAATACATGGGTCATTGTGGCTTCCTGTGGTTTGAAAAACAGCTGATCGGTGGAAAAGATTACAGTAATTGAAATGCTGAATCGAAAATACTGAGGGGTAGTTTTTTCTACCACAACAGCTTCTGCTTCCTGTATTTATTGTAAATATATGACTGTATGCCTTGGAATTGTACAGTGATACATTTTTTTGGGAAAGCCCAACATGTAGCTATCTTGTATTTTTTACCTCTCTCCTCAGAGATGACTTGTACCAGCTCGTATCCCTCCTCTGGCTCCACCTCCAGGTTGTGCTTCGCCGTGGCTCTAGAAATTACAGCCGGAGTCTTGTCTTGATTGGTCAACTATTTAGGGAAAAGACAAGAAATGACTCATATATCATGTAAAAAATGTAAACCGAGAGCATCTGACTCAAACACAAACGTAGTTATTTACCAGTATGCTCTTGTAGAGATTCCCGTTGCCTTGCTCCAGGCTCACTCTTATGATGCATGCATCTTGGGCCTGGGTGTTATAAGCCGGGGTTTGACTCGGGGTGCCAGGGGACATGGCTGTGAGAGAGATGGAGCGTCTATGGGTGCAGGGGGGCCCGGGGAATGAGGGAGATGCGGGAGTCACGGAGACGCTGGCTGTCGACGAGCTGGTGTCCATGGAGTGGAGTGAATTACAAGAGGAGGATTCTGACAGCTGAGGAAACGTAGAAGCAGAAGTTACATAGATACACAAAACCACGAGGGGATCATTTTCTTCCACAAATGCACTGAACCATAACGCATTCAATTGCAGCCATTTGAGGTTACGGGAAACAGTTTGATTTTATTTTCCCTCATAAGACTTCAAAATAGATTTTTCTAACATCAACGATGAGCTAGTAGGCTGATGTCATTCCTGAGAGACAGAATAAATGCCACGATAACCAGCATGTATCATTTTCTTATGCGTTCCATAATTTTGGCAATTACAATTTCCACTTTGTGTTATGTGATTTTGTGGCTGTAGTAAATACCCATGAACATATGAGGGTTAAATTGTACAACAACAGCACCTTATTTCGTGCAATTTCAGTTATTTACACCAAAGTGATTTGCACCACTTCAAAAGTGTTAAATCATTTGTGACATATTCGGGGAAGGGTGTTAAGGGGGAGGGTCCAAAGAATACATTAGCAACACATAATTCGCCAAAACCAATCATTTTTATTACGGTCCCTAAGTGTGACCAGAATGAGCACGTTCTCTGTGGCGCTATAAGCCCACCTTGTTGTGCTGGGAGTCAGAGGGGTGAGTGGGGGTGATGCCCTCGCTGTCGGACGGGCTGCTGGAGTCACTGGAGGACACGCTCACGGAGTCCATGCTCTCCCCTGAGCTGCCAGTAGGAGGCGAGCGCAGCATCTCTCTGACGGGAGAACTGGCTGCATTGTTGTCTGGTCCAAGAAACATCCTGCCAAGTTACGGAAGTATGGTTATTGGATAATACAACAAATGGGTCACAGCAACCCAGTGCTTACATTTGACAGTGCGACTATACTTCTGTGTTTTTGTTTTTGTCAACATCTTTTTTTGCCTGGATGTACTCACAGGCTGAGTCTCTTCACCATGCTTTTTCGAGGTTTGGCTAAGGTTGGACTGCTGTCACCGAGACCTTCAATCTCGCAGGACAAGGCGTAGCTGCAAGAGAGAACATTGATAATAAACCTTAGACATCATAAAACAAATCATGTGCCTGGTGAGTTGTTGTTTTTTGAGAACTAATGAATTCCTGAGTAAGAGAGAGGGAAAGAGAAAGAGAGGACACGAGAAGGAGGGAGAGAAGAGAGTTCACAGAGCAAAAGCAATAAGTAGAATAGAGCAGCAGGGAGGGAAGACACGACATCAGAACAGCAGAGAGAGGCGAGGAAAGCACACAAAGAAGTCTGTTCCTCTCTGTTTGTGAACAATAGGTCCAGCAGACCGTAAGCTCAAGCAATAATGTGCTCGTTATCTAATGAATAACTGTGCAATCAAGGAAGAAGGTCTTCAGAGTAGAGCAGCAGTACCTTTCCTCCTCACTGAGCAGAACCTGGCTCTTAAACCAGCGGAGGAAGGCCGGCTCTGGACTCAGACAGTAGCTGTTGCAGGCCGACTGGAGCAGCTTGATCTGAGCGATGACCTCGAACTCCTGCAGAGAGAGAGAGAGAGAGAGAGAGAGAGAGAGAGAGATAGAGAGAGAGGGAGTCAGACATGTGGCGCACGTCGGCCGAGCTCATCCTGTGATAATTGTCGCGGTGCTCTCGTGTGAGATTAGGACGCTCGCAGCGACACTCACCCTGCGCCTCTTCTCGAAGTTGTTCAGACCGCCCTGCGGGGGACACAAAGAGCACGCTGTCAGACCCTGACAGACATCGCATACCAATGGCTGCTTAGACAAACAGCGCTAGGTGGACCACTCCAACAGTGGGCCGGCAGAAATTCCACACACACCCATGGAAACTTACGCCCTGGGTTTTCTGACAGCAGTTACACAGATAGGCTCTCAGATCAGCAGAGCTGTGTAAACTCGCAGACACATGCTCTCAAATATTGACACACACACACATTCAGCAGGTGGTTATGGATTTCTTTTTTCTTACCTCTACTAGGTCAGGCAGGGCTGTATCCAGCATGGTCAGGTCAGTTAGAAAGGTCCCCAAGTATGGTATTGTTCCTTGCATGGCTCCCTGTGGAGAAAGACACACAAGTTTAAATAAACACTTCAAAAGGATGCCACAATAAAGCCGGAGACTCGTGATTTACAGATGCCAGGGTGGGTTTTGTAACAACAACAGGCTTAATGCAAGTACAGCACACAGTGCACTAAGTAAACAAAGCTAAGCATGTGGTCTCATCCCACTGGAGAGGCTAGAACTCGCTTTACAGCACATTGCTTTAGAGGAATGTGTTGCTTTAAATGACGAAGCTCGGTTTTAGCTCTCCATTTGTCTGGCCGTTTGTCGCAGAAGCATCGTGGTTAGACGGGCTTTGTCTCACCATTTCCTTCTGCAACTGTAGTCTCTTGTGGGTGCGTTTCTGGTGCTCCTTGGCACAACTCTCCAGACTGGCAAACTTTGAAGTGCCTTCCTGTATAGGGCAAACAAAACAAAAGCAGCTTTAGTCCTCCAGATTCTCTCCAGTGAATGAAGGATGTTTTTAGGATTTTCAGAAGTCCTACGTCTGTGAGAATAACATCTACCCGCTTTAAAAATAGGAATTTATTTCACAAAGGGCACTAAATGCATAATTCGAATATGGGACCTTCAAATAAATGTCGAAGTTAGAACTCACCCTCATGAGGAGCTCTCTGCTGGTCAGGTAGTTGTTGTGATCGGAGAAAATGTCCGACAGTTCTTCAAATGTCTGCATGCTGTCTCTGTGTGAAGCACAGATTCATGTTAGCTCAGGGTAACGGACATATCGGCTAAAATACATGTGTGAACATCTCAGACGTGCTGCTGAATCCTGCCAAAATGCTGACTCGTCCATCAGGACTTACTTGTGCACACAGGCCCATGCCCTCTTCAGCCTGTACAGAGGGTTGGACTGCAGCGCGGACACAATGGCTCGCAGAGACGAGAAGTTTTTGCGTATTCGACACTCCTGTAAGAAGACAAGGACAGTCACAACATGGCCCGTTTTGGTGCTAGGTTTATAGATGAATTTGTGTGTGTGTGTGTGTGTGTGTGTGTGTGTGTTTCTGCCAACCTGAGCGATGTCTATCCAGCGCTGGATGACCCGTGCTCTGACATGCGGTCTGATCTGCCTGTGTTTCAGCACTGTGCTGACCACGCAGGCCGCCACAGCATTAAACTGCGTGATAGTGGCCCGGATGGTGGGGGCGCTGTGCTTGTTGTGCTTCTTGTCCCTCTGAGACCAAACAGAGCCCAGGCAGTGGTGGGGCACAACCTTTTTAAACAGCAGCTGTAGCAGAAGAAAAACAGGCTGACGTTAGTATGACGACACTGAAGAAACACCGCAGGAGTGTAACCTGCGTAACCTTTAGCTGCTACACAATGCGCGCTGCCAGTCCACCTGTTTCCATCTCGATTTGCTCCACTTACCGCATCCATGTAGGTCAGCTGCTCAGCCACCAGGTCGGACTCAAACGACAGGAAGTCCTCCCGGACCTCGATCTCCACTTCCTCCTCTTCCCCCAGGCAGAAAGAACTGTTGCCGTGGAAACCAGCTGAAAGCAGGCAAAAATATACAGGGGATTTGACTCAGAGGAAATTTGATCGAAATATATGTAATAAAAAACGTTTAAAAAAAAAGACACTTACCATCTGAGTCATCCATGCTGGCCTGACTCTGCAGCTGCTCCAGCAGACCCTCTGCCCGTCTAAGAGCCTCAGAGCCTGGCAGGGTCCTGCGCAGGTAGTCCATCAGCCTGTGGAGACACGGGTAGTCAGGGGGCTCCTGGAAGTCTTCGGGACACTGGTCCAACCAGGCACGCAGGATCGAGGCCAAGGCACTGTGGAGACAGCAGGGAAAGGTTTGAGTGTTAAGAGAGCTGGCAAGGGCAGATGGACAGGAGTGATAAATCAGATATACCGTTACTAAAAATGTTTTCTATTGAAAGCTGTCCACATGGAACTGGTGATGAGGATAGGAAAATGGAACTCACCTTCTGATGGCTCCGTTGGGTTCAGAGCCTTTGCATTTGCCTGCATCTTGCTGATTTTCCTCCACGGTTCCATACCTGCAGCAGAAAATAAGTAGAGGGCATATTCAAAACCACTAAAACATATCGGCCGTGCATTATTATGGCCGTGTGCAACACTTCAATCCAGCCCCACCTGTCTAGCAGCAGCTGCAGGACAGTCTGTGTGCTGGCGAAGGCTCTGTAGGTGGACAGGAAGATGGAGGTGTAGGTGAGGTCGTTGTCTCCAAACGCCGTCAATAACGTCTCCACCAGACGCTCCAGCGTTCCAGCGCGGATACTTCGGATTTTGCAGGTCTCCAGCTGGCTCACCGTGTGGCCGGGAGGCAAGCGATCCCCCTCCGCCTAAACACACGTGCACACATATTTTCACACTGTTAAATATGCTCTGTGGTGACTTGGCTGGTGCTTCCACAGCTTTTCTTTGCTTTGTTTGGCCTTGAATGCATCGCAGATTAACACTCGAGTCAGGTCGTCGTCGTAAAACAATTTGTCAGTTAAGCTTTAAATGGTGAAATTACAGGAGTGGTACAATTCACCAGAAGACAAAGATGGAGGGAGGAAGCAGTGAGGACAATCATAACACCATATATAATTCTGATATCACCAGATGTGTCCGACTATTGTGTCTACAGGGAAATAGACTGAGAGGTTACAAAACAGGCAGGGAGAGAGCAGAGGAGGCGGTGGCACAGACGCGGAGAGAAAGAGACCTTGGTGAAGTTAGCACGCTACAACAGGAAACGCTCCAATCTGCTTTTAATCACAGCAGGCCCCTCCTCCACCGTCCCTCCAGACGGAGAGGAGGACAGCACAGCAACGTTCTCCCACCACGTCCATCTGATAACAACTCAGTGCACCAAAAGACGCCCTATTACTGATCTCTGTCAGGTGACCCGCCGTGCAGTCACACACGGGCTAAACTTTTACTATTCACAGTCAATTAGAACCGAGTTCGCAAACAAATCTGCCTCACAGGCTGTAAACACACATCAGTGTACAATCCCACTAATGAACAGTAATTGCAGTTATTCACTGACAATTGGCTGTTTATAGTAAATAAGAATGCCTCAATGGGGATCGCTCTCCATTCTACTCCACTCAATAGACAGCACTGTGTAGAAGCACCCATGATGTTTTAATTAGCTCGAAATACAGTTGGCAGCTCGTGCCGTCAATTCATCAATACATCAATACAGTCTTAAAGCCACAGAACTGTTATCCATTTCTTCTATTATGTGCCAACCGCCATCCCCCGTGTCAGCACAAAGAGACAACAGCGGTACAAGCAAACTAACAACACAAGATCTGCATTTTCTTTTTCGTGCAAACAAAAGGCATCTGTAATTTCTATTAGGTTGGGTTCATGCATTCCTTCAATAGGAAACGCATAAGAGGAACTAAAGAGCTAATTGGCCCTTCTGTGCAGTATAATGACATACTGTACAACATCTTATTATGCTGGTATAAACAGCAATGCTTCATATGCACTGGAAAAATGCACAACTCAAGGAAAAGCCTTTAATACCCCACCTTTTTTTTTTTTGTCATACCAGCGTTTTGTAAAACCACCGCTGTACAGGGGAGCAAGCCGTTTTGTTGGCAGTCAGTAAAGTCAGGAAATCACATGCTTTGGCTAAACAGTCCAGGTCTGGTGAAACTGTTGATTTCCAGCTTAAAAGGTGTCGTCTAAAAGGGGAGATTTATAGCTCAAATGTTAAAGCAACAGAGCACAAAGCCGAGAGACGCCCCACTATTGAAAGGCACCGTCTGCTTTAAACAATAGAGATTAGGTTCTGTTTTTATGATGAGCGGCCTGCACACAGGATTGCTTTTACAACACAATCTACTTAATGGTAAATTCCAAGGCAGGGACTATTTCACTTTGGGTATAAATCAGCAGTTCACATTCTGCAGAGCAACAGGTTAAGAGAGTGGAAAAAAAACAGCATCAGGCTTTCATTTGTGTAATCTGTTTCGCTGAGAGTCAAAAGCTTCGTCAGCTGTGATTGTCACACTGCGAGACATCAGACGGGGCCTACTCACCCCTAGCCATCTCGCCCCCTTGTTGGCCGCCTGCTGAATCTGAACCCTCTTCAGTGTCACATTGTAGATGGCTCCTTCCTCGACTTCCTCCCCCCAGTCCTGCACCGAGCTCTGCAAGGAGAGAGTATAAGAGGGGAAATGTTAGAGGCCTGCAGAAGAAAGGAGAGGATACTAACTTCCAAGCGGCATTGCGAAAATTGACCAAAATGGGAACTGACATTTTTGGAAACCTCTCTGAGAAAAGCAGAAGGGAGCATCGGAAGAAAACCAAAACAAAGAAACACAAGTAAAGCCCTCAAACAGACTGGTAAAAGAAGCTCTAACGTGCAGTAAAACATCAAGAATGACCAACTCCCCAACCCCCACCACTGCAGGCTGCCAGGCCTCCCTCCCCGTCTTTTACTCCCTCTTTTACTCCCTATCCATCTCCTTCACCGTGTCCCCTTCTCTCTGAGGTGAAGTCAGAGCTGGACTGCTTTACTCAAGCTCCGAAAGCTGGAGATAAGAGCCAGAATGGACCAAGTCTCCCAAACAAAACCCCCTACATAATAAAACAAGACACGCTGATACGTCTCTGTCTGTTTGTCTGAGTAACTATACAGGCCAAGAGAGCTTGATTACAAGTGAGAGCACAACCACACTTAAATCAGCAAATAGTTCTGTGCTCATCTTGCTCCAAATGCAAATGCGTCTGGTTGTAAATCACTGACAAACTGCAGAGCGTGTGAACAAACAGAGGGAGCAGAGTGGAATCAAAATACGAAACTCCTGCTCGGAGAGAGCCTGCGATATGCCGGGACATCAACATACTGTGGAGACAGAGACAAAAACAGAGACGGCGAAAGAGAGGGACTTGGCCAAATATAAACACCACGCATGCAGTATAATGACCAAGTCCTCCTCACACACGCACACACACACACACACACACACACACACACAAAGGGCAGCGGCCGCCAAGATCACTCTAACTTGTCCCCACTTTCATTCACACAGCTCAATGGCAAAGTCCACACTATTCCCCAATCAGAGAGACTGCCAGAAAAGAGGTCAGAGGTCAAAGTCACCGTTAACAGGCTGAATGGACGGTCGTGGAGGCCGGTGGCACTCAGCCACGACTGGGCCGTGTTTGGGTTTGAACAGAAACATGTGATGCTGAAATGAAATGAAAGCCCCAAACCAAAAACAAAAAAACAAAAAAACACAAAGAGAGAGAAAGGGAGAGGAGTAAAAAAAAAAAGGGATCTTAACTGGCTCTGGCAGATGAAACCAGTTAGCATGTCTGTGTCAAAAGCTGCATTGGTCTGAAACATGTCCACATGCTCGTCCCCATACCCTGTTCAGCATCTTGTCTTAAGGTCAGCAACCTAGTAAGTGCACATCTCTCTCCCTCTCTGTTTAGCTGCTGCTGGCGCAGAGACAGAGATATATATATATATATATATA